AAGTACATGTATTCCTGCATACACAGCATCGTGAATGAGCTCCTGACCTTGGAACAGAACTGATTGCAATTCAGCATGCAGCTTACCGCTATGCACACGCCAGCACGCGGAATCGTCGACACACGGTGGGCAACGAAGTCAGAATGCGCGTGCTGCAGGGAGGCGGCCGTAAGTTGAGTATCCTGAGGGGGGTCTATGAAAGCTTACCCTAGCAACTCATGGCGCTCGTTGCCATGCTCCGTCTCAGACAACAGGGACGATCAATGCTCTGCAACTGAAGCACCAGAGAGCGTATACATAATCACCATTACGTGTCCAACAGCTCCGACATGGATGGGAATGCTTCTCATTTCTATGCTCGGCCACGTGGGCAAATTCAGAACACGACGCAACTTTAGGGGAACGAGAAATGGCATAAACATAAAAACTCGGAGGTCCGCGCGGAGTTCTCCGATCCGCGCTGGACCCCCCTGGCGGCGCCTCTGGCGCCGCCCCTGGCGCGCTCCGTGCGCCAGGGAGGGGGTCCAGCGCCGATCCGAGGAATCCGCGCGGACCTCCGAGTTTTTATGTTTATGTGACTTTTTGTTCCCCTAAACTTGAGCAGCAACTGAAGAGCAGCCCACAGTTCAGACTGTGACGCAACACCATCGCCAATACTTGGCAGGCACGGTGGCAGAACCTAGGAAGATGCAGACTCGATACCACAGAGGTCAAACTCGGACTCCTGCAACCGAAGAGTGAACTCAAGCCCCGCCGAGGCTCCGAACGGTGTGCGGCGATGGCGCCCATTCCAGGGGGAATGTTTGCGGGAAGCGACGGCACGGTAGCGTCCGGACGCAGCGTGGAAGACAAGGGAAGCCGTGAAGGGCACCTAGGAACAACCACCGCCACGTCCTCCGGCAAGGACCCGCACGGATAACCACCAAAATCATCTGGCGCATAGACCTTATTCTGCTCCTGGGCGGCGGCACGACAGAGCATCCGATCACGGACTTAACATTGTTTACCTATCATCGACCGTGCTTGAAGTAAAGTTACTGTTAGGTCGGACCTGTCCCCTTACAGGGGGAACTTGGACGAAAATTTTCAAAAAGTGAAAAACAAAAACACACACACACAAAAACCACAAAATTGCTCAACAAATCGTCCCCAGACTATATTTTTGACAATTTCTGAATATTCCCCCTGTAGAGGGACAAGCCCGACATAATTCTACTGCAGCATCTCCCGGAGCCTGGTGTGCCGACTCATCGACCGTTGCTGGAGTGACGGGCCCAGCTGTCCCAGGGCGTCCTTCTCGAGGACACGACTGCGTGCTGCAAGGTTGAACATGTTGGGGCAAGTCAACAAAGCTGGTTGAGCCAAAATGTCCACGGAGGAGGGGAACGAAGAGGAAGAAGAAATGAGGTGGAAGGATGGAAGAGGCAGGAGGGATTATGCTTGATGTTCCCTTGTGGGTTCTACTGTGGGCACATTGGCGTTATTAGATGTTCTTGCATCCTTAACATGACTGATCTGTCTGAACAGATGTATGCCTCCTGAACCGCAGGCGACCTTTGAGAAGAGGGCTCCAACTCCTCCGCCTCGATTCTTCCGTCATCGACCCTGGCTTCTTGACTCCGATGTCATCCTCTCCCCTCCCTCCTCTTTCTCCGAGCCTGGACCCCTCCTTCTCATCCGACTCTCCACTCTCTCCTCCTCTTCCCCCGCCTTCTGGTCCGCAGCCCCCCTCGTGCTCCCTCGCCTCTTCCACCTGCCAATCACACCGACTCCGACTTCCCAGTGCCTACGGGGTCCGACACCAAGAGGTGGATCAAATTGTATAGGCGGCTGGAAGGCAGGGAGGAGAGGAATGATGGAGACGGCGGGACGGACGATAACGACTTTTTCTCTGGCTTCTCGTTCAGCGTCTGAACCTGGCAAATGTACACTTGGCTCGCCAACAAGCAATCGTTCTTGCGATGCTTGGCTCGCCATGGGAATGATGCTGGTAACTGTTAGTACGATTGTCATCGGCATGCCGATGCTGCCTGTAGACGCTGGGGAGGGGTGCGGGAGGAGGTGGAGACTGACGTGGAGGGGGTGGCGACGCTGAAGATGATGCAGGTAATGCTGAGGAGGAGAATGCGGGGCGCATGCTGAGAATCATGTTCATGCTCAGGCTGGTGGTGTTGGTAACGACGGGGAGGATGGCGATGAGGACGAGGCGGGGGAAGGGGCTCCTCCTGCTGCTCCCTCTGTTGGTCCTCCCGACCTCCTGCATAATACCTTCTATCCCTCCCACCGCCTCCCCTGGCCTCGCACCTCCTACCTTCTCTGTGTGCACACTCTACTTCACATCTCGACACTTCTACCTCTACCTCCTTCGACGCATGGGCACCGCCTTGCCTGAATGAAAGCACTGCGATTGCAGCCCGGCGCAGAAGGCCCACGCCCACGACGCCAAGGCTTGCGACGTCACGGGTAGCCACAGGCACTCCCGCGCACAGCGCGCGCGAGAGCCCGCGCGCGCCCGCGCTCTGCTCCTAGGTGGCGTCCAGCTTGAGGGTGACTCACCGTTCGCTGGAGCCAGCATCACGAGAGATCCGATGGCAATTCCCACGGCTGGTGCGTGGGCAGAGGCTGTTAAGACAAATAAGTGGTCCCAGCAAATGCGAGCAAACCCAAAGCTGCCCACAACAGATTTGGCATGCACAGTTGCTCACAAACAAAAGCTTGCTAGCCATCCGCTGAACCACATGCTGGTTCGAGCGAAGGAGGCATGGTCGTTCCCAATTTCACTGCTCCACAGGAAAAATCGAGAGAACGTAAGCAGGCCCACATGCTTCGCATCTGCATTCGCTGCTCCACATGCGCCAGCCACTAACTCCAAATTAGAAATTTCGAAAAAGGTGAGGCCGACCCTGATTGCTGATGGGTGTCGCAGTATGCCGCTTGGCATGCACGCGATGCGCCAAACCGAAAGAGATGTCTCGCAACGTGGTCTTGCATCGCGCTGACCGCCCATGGAAGACAACTGCTCGACAGGGTCATTTCGGCGCGGTCGACAAACAAGAGAAGGGCAACCTTGCTGGACTGGAGGCCTGCCAAAACTGGGCTGGAGCAACTGGGGCCGGAAGACCGCGGTCGCATTGCCAATGCATCGGCGATGCATCGTCGAAGTCGGCATGGAGAACATCGGCTCTGCATCGAGCCGCATCGCCGATGCATCGGCGACGGGGCGCGATCCTCTGACCCCATCTGCCCAGACCCCCTTTTGAGAGGCCCGGATGGACAGCCGTTGGCAGCTTTGCCAAGCATCCTGCGACAGCGTATTTTAGAGGGCAGATAATCCCCCCCGATAAGAACCACCCCAACACACGAAGCCGTTTAGCAAGCGAACCCAAAGAAAGGATCAAACAGGGCAAGGCTGTTGGGTAAACGCCCAGGGCCGTTTAGTAAACGCCAACTGTCCGGCCCGGGTGGTTTTTCCTGCCTTGATATTGATCCGTGGATCTAGCATCTAGCGTATTAATCCTCCTCCTCTTCCTCCTCCTCCTGCTCCTCCTCCTCCTGCTCCTCCTCCTCCTCTTCCTCCTCCTTCTGCTCCTCCTCCTCCTCCTCATCCCTCGTCCTCGTCCTCCTCCTCATCCTCCTCCTGTGGATCTAGCATATGTGTGCCAGAGCCTCGGATCGGGGAAAGTACCCCTCGAAGCATGAGGCCCGTACCGCCCCGACTCGGCGACGGAGCGCATCGACTCCTCGCATGGAAACGATACCCGTCGCTATACTGAAGGGGCCCAAGGGCACACAAATAAATACACACGAATAACATGATTCCCCATATTTTCAAATATTTCCTGGGGTTTTCGTCCCCCCCACACTTCCAAGATTTTCCTCTATTTTCTGGGGTCGACGATGAACTGCGCCTGTGTGTGTGTTTTTCCCTCCTGAATGCTTGCGTCTCCTCGAGCCCTGCGACAGCGAATGCTAGATCTCGAGGAGGAGGAGGAGGAGGAGGAGGAGGAGGAGGAGGAGGAGGAGGAGGAGGGCAGCGCAAACAACATCCGACTGCGCTGCTGGGCCACAGGCCAGTGGGTGCTCGGGACGCCGCTGGGTGCCGGCGCGCTGCTGCAGGCAGGCGGGCCCGCTCTCTCCCGCGCTGGTGTGCCGCAGGGGTGCGCGCCGCCTTGGGCGCCCGAGTTATCCGGGGTTAACTCGGGTCCGGGGTAAGTCGGGTTCGGATTCCCGAAAAACCAACCCGAGTTGGCCCTGGCCCGAGTTACCCTTGATGATTTGGGGCCCTGGGCGCCCGAGTTATCCGGGGTAAGTCGGGTCTGGGGTAACTCGGGTTCGGAATCCTGAAAAACGAGCCCGAGTTAGCCCTGACCCGAGTTACCCCTGATGATTCGGGGCCCAAACCGCCTGCTTGGCTTGCTGGCTCTGCACGCGGCTACGGAGGCGCGCACGCTTCCCCGCTCCACCGCGGCAAGGTGCCAGCGCCCGCGTTGAGCAGGGACCGACCGTCCCGGCATTTCTATAGTCCTACCACGACATGTTCCTAGAACCCAGAAGTGTTCTAACAACAAAAACAATGCTCTTAGAACATGCACCCGGTGTGCTAAAACAAGACAGACACCGCCAGACATGTTCCAAGAAAACTCCGTGGAATCCACAAAAAAGGTTCTTGGAACACTGTTTGGTAGGGCTACAGGCGAGCCAGGACGCTTCGCCACTGCTTGGCGCCGCTGGCCACGCCCCCCCCCACAGGAGGAGGAGGAGGAGGAGGAGGAGGAGGAGGAGGAGGAGGAGGAGGAGGAGGAGGAGAAAAGGAGGCGGAGGAGAGGAGGAGGAGGAGGAGGAGGAGGAGGAGGAGGGAGAGGAGGAGGAGGAGGAGGAGGAGGGAGGAGGAGGAGGAGGAGGAGGGGGAGGAGGAGGGGGGGGGAGGGGGAAGAGGAGGAGGGGGAGGAGGAGGAGGAGGAGGAGGAGGGGGAGGAGGAGGAGGAGGAGGAGGAGGAGGAGGAGGAGGAGGAGGAGGAGGAGGTGGAGGAGTAGGAGGGCCTCCGCCGTGCGAGCGCGGCAGGCGCCCAGGCGCAGGATGGGAGCGCGGCGGGGTCCCGCCACACCGCTCGGACGTCCGCTTCCTGTGCCTGTTGGTCGGTATCGTGCGTGTGTTTTTTTTTGCTCGATGGTCCAGGGATAGTCTTCGATTGAGAAGGCGAAAACCCACCCCCACCCCCAGTCCCGACGCCCATCCCCGAACCCGCGATTAAAGGAGTCGCGACTGGGGGTGGGGGTGGGTTTTCGGGGTCCAAGAATGGAGAAAACCCACCGCCACCCCGATTCCCGACCCCTTGAATCGCAGGCTCGGGGATGGGCGTCTGGACTGGGGGTGGGGGCGGGATTTCGCCTTCTGATCGATTGTTCTCGCCGAGAAAAAATGCACACGTCCGAGCGATGCCAAGGGGGGGCAGAAGGGCGGGGGTCAGTCCTGCGAGGCAGGGGTGCATCCAGAAACGGCGCCTGGGGGATCGATCCCCGGGGACCTCGGGGGGCAACGGACATTTGGCGCTCCGAAGGTCCGACCAGAAACAGATCCACCGCCTGCCGAAGCCCCCAACGGTCAATCCCCCAGGCGGTGGTTCTGGATGAATCCCACCCTCAGAAATTGGGAGGTAATTCCCAGAAGGCCTTCGTAAACACGATTAGTGGAAAGCTGTTGGGCTCATTGAAAGGCCATTGAGCTGTGGACTTGGCTAAATTCAGCCCAGGATTGAACCCGATTGCACGGGATTTAACAGGATTGCGCCTGTTCTCGACCATGGTTATACGAGGCTGCATTAAGCATCCCAGAAGTTGAATCCCAAGAGTAAGGAGCGTCCTTCGTCGTCGTCTCCCTCCTCCTGAGCGAGGAGCTGCTCCCTGGGCTGACTCTCCAAACTCTCGCCCAGCAACCTCTGCTCTGACACAAGACACTGGATTCGGTTGCGCGGTTTTGCTCGAACACGCTACTCCCGCGACCTCATCCAGGGTCCACTGCGACCTTGGCGACGATTTCCCTGGTGGCCCCACACGGCAAAAACGAGGCAAGGGCAGCGGTATTGGCACCTTCTCCTCATCTGGACAACGTGGTGGGGGAGAGGAGGCTATGTACGATTCGAGCTGCAAATGGCCAGCGCCGGACCGATCTGCTGAAGGGCAGGTGAGCGACGGCAAAAAACGGTCTTGCACAACTGGCATCGCGACCTTGCGCCATACAGTCGGGGCGTTGACCTAAGGAACCCTAAATAAGGAACGAGGCCCCTTTGTTCCTTAAGTTAAACTTCGATTTCCTATCGGGAACATAAGGAAAACCCGAGGCAAGCTGTGAAACACTTCAGGAACGCGGAGCCCCTCCCCAACCAAAAGGGTTCCTTCTTCAGGGCCCCGACTGAAACTGACGCGGGCCGCCAGCGCGGCACGCCGCGTTGGAGAAGAGGGCGCTCACGCGCGACCTCGCGCGGGCAGCCCACGCGCCAGTGTCGGCGCGCAATCGAACCCGCTGCTCTCTGCGTCGCTCCAAGTGCCGCTGACAGGCAGGCCGCTCGGGCGCCGGGGCACGAAGCGGGCGGCCCCCGCGCCGTGGCATGGCGTGGGCCACAACGGAGCGCCCGCACCTCCACGCCCTGCCTCCTCCAACAAACATAAAACGGCGCGAAGGTCGGGACAAAATCGGATCGGGATAACTCGAAATCTCTGAGAATCGGCGAGTTTGGAGGATGTATTGGGCGCCGCGGCCGCTCCAGAGCGTTCCGGAACGCTCTGGGAGCGCTCCGGAACGCTCTGGAGCGATTTATCCCGATCCTAGCCCAGTTTAAAAAAACCCTCCAGCAAGATTCCGTCCCTGACGTCCGCCGATGCAGTCGGTCCGCTGCAGTGATGAGCGCTAGGTGCTCCTCTTGGGCACCAGGGGAGCCGGGGTGCACGAGCAGGGCCAGAAGAGCAACGACGGGATGACCGAGGGAGCACCATCTATCGTCGCTGGCCTGACACTTTGGTTGAAACGGGGTCGGAAACCAGTGGGCCCCTCCCCCTCCGAAACAAAGCAACTCCTGAGAAGGGGGGTCAGGAACCCGAGGGCCCCCGTCCCCCCCAACCCCCCCACCTCCTTCCCAACGGAAGGACTTAGGGGGTCTGGACCCCCCCCTGCCCACCCGGATTTTGTTCTTGGCGGATCTGGGCAAAAAATTGTACAGTACAACCATCTAGAACCAATCCCAACCACCTCAATACAATTTGCAACCCCTGTGGTACCAATTCCAGCTACTTTCAGGTAATCCCAACCAGCCTGTATGCAAACTCCCACAAGGGCGTACGGGCGTCTTAGAGGCGTCGTAGAGACGTCGTACGGGCGTCCCAGAGGCGTCGCACGGGCGCTTAAGAGGCGCCTTTGAGACGTCGTACGGGCGTCTTAGAGGCGTCGTCCGGGCGTCTTGCAGGTGTCGTACGGGCGACTTAGGGGCGTCGCACGGGCTTCCTACAGGCGTCTTACGGGCGTCATAAAGGCGTCGCACGGGCGTCTTCGAGGCGTCATACGGGCGTCGCACGGTCGCTTTCGAGGCGCCTCTAAGACGTCTCTCGGAGACATATTCAAACAAAAACGCTTTCCGGGCGTCTCTGAGAGGCGTCTGTGAGAGGCGTCTGCGAGAGGTGTCTCTGAGAGGCGTCATGCGTGGCGTCTCTGAGAGGCGTTTTGCACTCGCCTTCGAGAGGCCGCTATAAGGCGTTTTGCACGCGCTTTGGAGAGGCGTCTCTCAAAAGGCGTTTTGCAAGCGTCTCTTAGGGGCGTCGTGAAGAAGCGTTTTGCACGCGCCTTTGAGAGGCGTCTCTGAGAGGCGTTTTACAAACGTCCAGTAGGGGCGGCCCCAAGAGGCGCCCTACAGGCAGCTCTGGGAGGCGCCTGACAGGCGGTGCCGAGATGCGTTATACAGGCGCCCTAGAGACCCTGCAAGATCCTGCGGAATCCGGAAGAATCCGCAGGAGTGTACACGGGGACTGGGGTGCACGCGGGTGCTGTGGCGCACACGAATGTTCTGGTGCGTCGGAAGGATAATATCAGGCGATGGTAAGACTGGGTTCAATGGGACCTCGTTTACTGATCTGTACCTGGGACGCCTCCCCGTCCCGTTCCACTAACAGGAATTGCCGTCACCCGAAAAACACCAACTGCGGCAGACCTGCGAAATGATTCCAATCCATATGTTGGGCTTCGGGGCCCAATCACTAACCGGCTCCCCTTGACCGGGGTCCTGGCTATATCAGGGAATAGAGGAGCAGGAGGAGGAGGGGGGGAACGGGAGAGGGAGTGGCCCACTAGGGCCACGACGCGTTATAATGATGAGGGGGAAGCAGGAAAAAGGCTGACGGCGATGATGATGATGATGATGATGATGATGATGATGATGATGATGATGATGATGATGATGATGATGATGATGATGATGATGAAGATCATGATGATGATGATGATGATGATGGTGATGATGATCATGATGATGGTGATGATGATGATGCTGATGATGATGATGATGGTGCGGTTGATCATGGTGATTGTTGTGGCGATGGTGATGACGCTGATGATGGTGATGATGGCAACGAGAATGCTGGCGGTCATGGAGATGGGGGTGGCGCCGGCGCTGCTGCTGCTGCTGCTGCTGCTGCTGATGATGATGATGATGATGATGATGATGATGATGATGATGATCATGATCATGGTGGCGATGGTGATGATGGTGGCAATGGTGATGATGACAACGATGATGGTGACGACGGTGCGGACGTGCGATGGGCAGGATGGCGGGGGAAAGGGGGCGAAGTGCGCGTGACCCGGAACGGGCGTTCAAGGCTGAACGCGCCTGGGGTTATGTTGTTCCCGTCCTACTTAAGGACCGCATCCCAGAACTAATTTCGAGCACCCAGAAAAGTGTCAAAAGAGTGTCGAAACAGTGTCGAAACAGTGTCTCCCAGGGCCCGCCACGTGAAAACCCTTGAGTTTCGGTACTGTCTTGGGCGCTCGAAATTCTTCCCGGTGGTCAAAGCTAGAAGTACGTAGGTTGGAGCATCCTAAGCCGCCTGGGGGAACTTCCGCCGTCGTCGTCGGCGCCGCCGTCGGCGCCGTCCCTCCCGGGCCGCCGCCCGGCCGGGAGGTCGAGCTGCCCGCCGGCCGTGGCGGCGACGGGGCCCTCCCCGGGAGGCTCCGCCCCCCCCCAAAACAAAAACACCTCCGCCGTCGCCCGCCGCCGCCCTCGGCGAGGACGGCGGCGGGCGACGGCGAGGACTCCTCGGCGAGGTGCCGTCGTGGTCGGTCGTGGTCGTCGTCGTCCTCGGCTCGCGCGCGGCGGCCCCCCGCCGCGGGTGCGCCCCCCCCACCCACCCCCGCGCGCGTCGTCGTCGTCGTCGTCGTCGTCGTCGTCGTCGTCGTCGTCGTCGTCGTCGCCGTCCTCGTTCGGTCGTTCGGCAGGGCGGCGGCCGTGACGCCCGGGTGCGGAGGGAGGAGGGGGGGGCCAAGGAGGAGGAAGAGGGGGGGGGGGGGGGGGGCAAGCTGGGTGCGCGCGCGTCATATCTGACGTCCTACCCCTCCCTCCCATCCCTCACCATGGCGCTGATTTTCTCCATCCGCGGACAAGTGGGTGGTGGTGCGCGTGCGTGCGTGCGTGCGTGCGTGCGTGGGTGCGTGGTTGTGGTGGTGGTGGTGGTGGTGGTGGTGGTGGTGGTGGTGCTGGTGGTGGTGGTGGTGGTGGTGCTGGTGGTGGTGGTGCTGGTGGTGGTGGTGTGTGTGTGTGTGTGTGTGTGCGTGTGTGCGCGTGTGCTGTGGCATGGCACGGGAAATGACGCCAGCGCTGCAGTGGGAGCACGAGTCGAAACGGGCGGAATCGCGGAAATGAGGCCACCGCTGCAGCGGGAGCACGATTCGGAACGAGCGGAAACACGGAAATGATGCCAGCGCTGCAGCGGGAGCACGATTCGGAACGAGCGGGGCCCGAAAATGAGGCCGGCGCCTCGGCGAGAGCAGCATTTTGAAAAAAGCACAAGCGAAAACCCGTTTCCCGGGAATCCTGTGTGTAAAAAAACACTACGCGGGGGGGGGGGGTCGGATATCTTCGGGACGCCATCAGGGGAAGTGGGAGAGTATTTTCATATTGTGTAATTGTCAAGGAGGAGGAAGAGGGAGGGGGGGAGGGGGGGAGGGGGGGGAGGGGCGGAGGGGAGGGGGGGACGGGGGGAGGGGGGAGGGACGGGGGGGGGGCCTCTGGCCGCCCGCGAAGCTGCTGCTGGAGGAGAGGGCGGCGCGCGCAGCGACGTGCCGGTCGAGGGGGCGGGCCCCTCAGCCTCTGCCCCCTCGCCCCCGCTGCCGGCGGAGAAGCATGGGCGGGGGGGGGGGGAGAGGGGGCGGCGTGCCGGCAACGGGCGAGTGGGATGGTGGTGGTGCCGATCCTCATGATTCATGGTGGGTGGGGATGGTGGCGGTGATGCTGGCGGTGGCCAGGAGAGGGACACGGCTGACGACGTGGATGAGAGCGGTGGTGCCACGGTGTTGGTGATGATGGTGACGATGGTGCTGATGATGCCGGTGAATCTCTGAGCCCTCGAACCCCTAAATTCTTGAGCACTGTCGCCCTCGCGCCCTTCGGCCCTTGAACCCGTAAGCCCTTACGCCATAAGATCATTGAAGACCTTGAGCCCTCAAACACCTAAACCCGCAACCCTTAAACCCTTAAGCAATTAAGCCTTTGGACCCTCAAGCCGGAGAGCCCTCAAACTTTCGGGCCCTTTGAGGCCAATGCCAAGCCCTCAAACACCTAAACCCGTAACTTTTTAGGTAACCTCAAGCCCTCAAACCCTCAAACACCTTCCCCTTACACCCGTCAAGTCCTTGAGCCCTTATGCCATTGAGCCGTTTAAACACTTGACCCTCAAACAGAAAGCCCTGAAACCCTTACGCCCTGAAGCCCTTAATCCCCTAGACCTTGAAACGCCTGAACCCTCAAACCCTCGAACACTTAAGCCCTTGACTCTGAGCCCATTAGCCCGGAAGCCCTTGAATCCTTCGTCCCTGGAGTCCTCACTGCAGCATCCCCAGACAAACCTGGTGCAATTCCCAACCAGGCATGAGCAGCCTATTTGATCCTGGGACATCCTGACATCGCCTCGCAGTGTGAATCATGCAGTGACGTTATGGGGCCGGCTGGAATTCGTGCCAGCTCCAGCTTGTCTTCTCGAACCGGTTGGAACATGCACTTGTTGGTTGGGACTAAGCCCAAACAATTTGAATTGGTACCGCGCGCGGTCTGGGTCCCCCCCGCCAACCCGCCCGGGAAAATTAGCGGGGGGGGGGTCTGAGACCCCCCCCTCCCCTTCTGGGAAGTCGTCGGTGGGGTCCGGGCCCCTCCCTTCCCCCGGACGAAGACGACGACGAACGCGACAACGACGACGACCGCGACGGCGACGGCGACGGCGACGGCGACTACTCTACTTGACTCCACTCTACTCTACTCTGCCAGACTCTACCTTACCCTAGCTCAGTCTACCCTACAGTACCCAAACATACTCCTATCGACTCCACATTGCTCTTACTCTACTCTATCCCATTCTACTCTACTGTAATCAGCCCTGCTGTATTCATTCTACCCTACTCTATCATACCGTACCCAAACATACTCTACTATACTATGGCTTGCTCCTGCTGTACTCTACTGCTACTCTACTCTACTCAGCTCTGCTATACTCTTGCCCGAGTCTACCCCATCTACTCTCCTCTACTCGAACCAATATGCCCTACTCTGCTGTACCCTACTCTACTCTACCTTACCGTACCCTGACATACTCTACTCTACTCCATTTTACTATTGCTATCCTTTACTCTGCTCTTTCCCTACCCTACTCTACTCTACTCCTACTCTACTCCGCCGTACTCTATCTATACCCTGACTCGACCTTGCCGTACGTCAGCATGCTCTGTTCTACTTCGCTGCTGCTCTATTTTTTGTTACTCTACTCTATACAGCTCTGCTCTATTCTGCTATAGTTCAGTTCTACTCTACCAATCTACTCTTCTCTAATCGACTCCTTCCCTTCTTCAATCTGCTCTACACCCCCTACACTACTCTACCCGAATCTCCTTTCCCTACCGTACCCCTCCCGACCCTACTCGTCTCTACTCTACCCTCTACTCTTCTCCTGTTTCATTCTACTCTATGCCTACTCTCTCCTGCTCGTCGTCGTCGTCTTAGTCGCCTTCGTCGTCGACGTCGTCGTCGTCGCCGGCGTCGGCGTCCTCGACGTCGTCGTCGACGTTGTCGGCGTCGTCGGCGCCATCAATTTCGTCGTCGTCGTCGGTGTCGTCGTCGTGGTCGTCTTCGTCGTCTGCGTCGTCGTCGTCGTCGTCGTTGTCGTCATCGCCGTCGCAATCGTCGTCGCCATCGTCGTCGTCGTCGGCGTCTCAGGGATCTACTGACCCGGGCCAATCCAGACACGGGCCAGCCAGGCGTAGCAGGATCCCGCAAGATCCTGCACGATCCTGCAGGATCCTGAGCCCAAGCCCGGGTCAATGCACCACTGGCTCTGCAGGATCCTGCAAGATCCGGCCCTGTGGCTGACACCCTGTTGCATTGACCCGCATCTCTTGAGCCCCGAGCGTCGGCGTCGGCGCCGGCGTCGTTGTCGTTGTCGTCGTCGTCGTCGTCGTCGTCGTCGTGGTCGTCGTGCGTCGTGCGTCGTGCGTAAAGCGTCGTCGTCGTTGTCGTCGTCGTCGACGGCGTCGTCGTTGTCGTTGTCGTCGTCGTCGTCGTTGTCGTCGTCGTGACCGTCGTCTTCGTGGTCGTTGTCGTCGTCGTCGGCTTCGTCATCTTCGTCGCCGCCGTCGTGGTCGTCGTCGTCATCGTCGTTGCAGTCGTCGTCGTCGGCGGCGTCGTCGGCGTCGTCGGCTTCGTCGTCTTCGTATTCGACGTCGTCGCCGTCGGCGTCGTCGTCGTTGTCACCGTCGCCATCGTCGTCGTCGTCGTCGTCGTCGTCAGCAGCATCGTCGTCGTCGTCGTCGGCGTCTGCGTCGTCGTCGTCGGCGACGAAATCGGTAGTGCTGTCGTCGTCGTCGTCGTCGTCGCTGTCGTCATCGTTGTCGTCGTGATCGTCGTCGTCGTTGTTGTTGTCGCAGACGTCGTCGCCGTTGCCGGCGTCGGATTCGTCGTCGTCGGATCCGTCGGCTTCGTCGCCTTCGTCGTCTTCGGCGTCGTCGCCGTGGTCGACACCATCATCGGGCAGCGTCGGCGTCGGAGTCTGGGAGCTTCTACTGACTGACCTCTCATCACAGCGCCCCCACCCTGCCCCTCCCTGTTCCCCAGCCCTCCCCCTCCGGCAGGCCGTGGCTCCGCGAACAGAGAGAGGCCTCGTGCACGAGCACTCACCGCTTCGTGCTCGTCGCCCGGCTGGCCTCGTAGCGGTTCCAGAGGCAGACGTGGCAGCGGTTGCAGTCCGCCCCGTCCTTGCGCGAATGATGAAAACGGGGCACCCTGACTTGACGAGCGAACAACTCACACCCATGCCCATAAGAGGGTCGCAAGGAGGGGAATCGGCTGTGGGTATGGGCGCGAGTGGTCGGACCCTGGGGGAAGCTCCCGTTCGAGCGGGGACCCCCCTCCGACGACACGCACCCATGGCCTCCTCCGTCCCCCCTGTGGGTTATGGGTGCGTGTTGCTCGATCGTCATGACTCTGGAGTGGTCCCTCGAGGAAAACGGCACTCGCCTGATGCCGCGTCGCGAGTGCGCCGCGGGTGCTTTCCTCCGTGGCAGCTCGGGCGGCCGACCCTTGGGCACGGGGTGCGGCCCAAGGGGAAACCGCGGGGCCAACGCACCCCCGCTGGGAAAAAGCACCCCGGAGCGACGATCCGCAGAACCCCGCACCGGCCTCAGCGCCGCATCGGCCGGCACCCAGGGCCCGTCCGACGCCCACGCAGAAGCAGGGAGAGGCTTCTTTTAACGGGCGAAGACCGGTATACAATGAACTGTTTCGCAGTCGGGGACACCTGCCCCAGATCGGCTGGAAAGTTGATACCCTGACGGTGGCACTGTAGGGGTATAAACTTTCCAGCCTCCCAGGGGCAGGTGTCTCCGACGGCGGAAAGTTTATTTTACACCGTTCTTCGCTCGCTGATTCTTGCGATGTTTCAAGCCCGCCGCGTCCTTGCACCCGCGGCTCTTGCGCACAAACTTGCAAGGCTCCTGGCACGTGTACGGGTGGCCCACCGTGCCGACGCTGAGCACCCCCGGGCCGAAGTCGCTTGGCATGCTCGCGCAGCCTGGCGATGGCGTCTCCGGAGGAAGGCAAGAAAGGCACCAGCACAATCATTCTGACTACCTACCAGACCACCCCAACCCCACCCGAAGACCCGAATTTCGGGCTGGGGGGGGGTAAGGGTTCCACGCGTGCTTTTTCGAAGTTCCCCGACCCCCCCCCCACTGGACATCGACGGTACATTTGAGCCTTCGGGTTGGCTTGGGGTGGCTTGGTGGGTGGTGACATTCCGAGGCCCGCGCGCGCGGATCCTTCGGCGCTGCCCCCCACCCCCTGGCGGCGCCTCCGCGCGCCGCCGCTGGCGCTCTCCGCGCGCCCCCGGGAGGGGGGGGGCCAATGCCTGCCCGAGACATCCGCGCGGCCCTCCGGAAGCTCCCGGCAGACTCGTGCCGCGCCGCCTTCGGCGCTGGCTTCGGACACCGCTGGGGTCAGTCCGCCTGGAACGCTCGGCCGTTGCCGCAACGTCAGGCTCAACGTCGGCCGATTCTGGGTCGCCCGCGGCGTTCCACGTTGAACGCCGGTGGCGGGGTCGCCGCCAGTCGGAACGGCGCGAACCTACCGCATTCTGGGCTTCTTGATAAGCGTGGGGGGGTACCCCCCCACGGGGGACAGCCTCGCCACGCCGTCGCGCCGCGACGGGCGTCGGAGCGCCTCCGGCGCGCGGTGGCTGCCCGCGGTCGGGGGTCGACGTGGGGCTGCCGGCGGGGGTGACGCCCCCCCCCCCCGACGCTTATTAAGAAACTCGGAGCATGCTGATGCCGCTTCCTCTTCCTCGATCGCTCTGCTTCGCCACGGCGCCCTTGGACTCTGGGGCACGCGCGCGGCCGCGTGGCGCCGCGTCGACCGCACGCACCGGCGCGGGCGGCGGACGTAGAGGCCCCCCAAATGGGGTCGAAAAGGCTGGGGCCGGGGGATCGCGACGCGTCGCCGCTGCATCGGCGCCGCCGGCGTGGAGAAGATCGGGCTCCACGTCGAGCGGCTCGATGTGGAGCCCGCACGATCGTGCGGCTCCACATCGATCGGGCTCCAGGTCGTGCGGCTGAGCCACAACGTGCGGCTCAGCCGCACGTCGCCGATGCATCGGCGACGCGGCGCGACTCTTCCAGGCCGCCTGCTCGGACCCCATTGTGGGAGGCCTCGCGGCAGCGGCTCCGCCGGGGGCGTCCACTGCGGGGGCCTGTCGGGCATGCCCTGCGGCCACGCCGGCGGCGCACGTGGCGCCGCTGCGCGGGCCTCTGGGGACGGCCTCCGAGTGCAGGCCCAGGGCGCGCCGGCCTCGTCGTCGGCGTCGTCGTCGTCGTCGGCGTCGTCGGCGTCGTCGTCGTCGGCGTCGTCGTCGGCGTCGGCGTCGGCGTCGGCGTCGGCGTCGGCGTCGGCGTCGGCGTCGGCGTCGTCGTCGGCCCGCCCGGGCGGCGGGCTGCGGCGGATGCTGCTGGAAGGGCATCCACTGCGGGGGCTTCAGCTCGGGCATGCCCTGCGGCCACGCCAGCGGGGCGTGCGGCGCGTAGGTGCGGTGGTCGGGAGAAGGTGTGCGGATGCGCGCCCAGGCCGCGTCCGGAGTGGCCCCCACCTGAGCGACGAAAAGAAAGGGGTCTTACAGTCGGGGCGTTGACCTAAGGAACCCTACATAAGAAACGAGGCCCCTGTTTTCCATAAGTTAAACTTCGATTTTCCTATCGAAAACACGAGGAAAGCCTGAGGCAAGCTGTGAAACACTTGAGGAACGCGGAGCCCCTCCCCAACCAAAAGGGTTCCTTCTTCAGGGCCCCGACTGTATGCGAGATGCCACATCGACCTTGCGCGGTGACGTGCGCGGGCCGCCAGCGCGGCATGCCACATCGGAAACGAGGGCGCTTACGCGCGACCTTACGAGGGCTTCTTGCGCGCCAGTGCCGGCGCAGTCTATCCCGTTTCCTTCCGTCGCCCACCTGAGCGGCGGCGGGCAGCGCGTCCGCAGCAGGTGGCGTCTTCCTGGCCTCCTGGTCGTGGCCCCGTGGGGTGCTGGCATCCATGAGCTCATGGTCGTAGATGCGCAGCATCAGCCGAAGGTCACGCCCGGAGCTGCCCTGCTTGGCCACGGCGGCATCCAGCGGCTCGGGGCTGCTGTCGCGGGCGTCCTCGTCTGGGATCTCGGGGATGTGTGCCATCTCGAAGCTGGGCACTCCGCCGTGCAGCAGGCCGTTGGAGGCTGGCGCCGGCAAGGGCTCTGGGGTGCGCCAGCCGCGGCTCGGCCCAGGCGAGGCGCGCTCCGGCACGCTCAGCACGAGCTGGCTCGGCATCGCTTCAGCAGGGTGCGAGCGCGTGACGTTCGAGGTGCGGGACTCCGGGCCTCCAGCCTGGGGGCACTCACGACCTGAGCCGAACGGGAGCTCTCCCGGAGGAATCCCGAGGCAAAGCGACCCCCACCCTAGCTGGCACGGCCCGCAGACCGAGCAGAGGCGAACATTCGGCGCCGGGGGGGGGGGGCGTTCCTGAAGAGCCTCCTGGGCCGCCTTGGACAGTTGTGATTCTCTCGGGGGGCTTCCTTGCACTGGCGGAAGGCTGTCTTCGGGCACGTCCGGGCCAGCTTGGGAGCCTCTCGAGAGCCCACTGGGCGGTTCGGGCATCTTGTGGGCCGTCCTCAGGCGTCTCGGGGGATCCTTGGCGCTCTCCTGGGACGTCCTGGCGCTGTCTTGGGCCTTCTTTCGGCTGTTCGTGCGCCGCTTGGCGCCTCCTGGGGTCTCTGCTGACCTCTCGGGGGCCGCCTCGGCCACTCACGGCGCGCCGCGACGCCCCCTCGGGCCCCGAGCCTCAACGAGCCTCTCATAATCGTCGGAGGGGACGGTGGACCCTGGGGGTGCCACATTCGGTGCAGGGATGGAGATTGGAACGGCGTATCAAGGCTGCCCAGATTGGGCCCGAGTTCCTCCTCCTCCTCCTCCTCCTCCTCCTCCTCCTCCTCCTCCTCCTCCTACTCCTCCAGATGGGGTCGAAGAAACGCGCCGCATCGCCGACGCATCGGTGATGCGTCGGCGACGTCGGGGCGGGGAAAACCAGGGTCCGCGCCGCACCGCATCGCCGATGCATCGGCGATGCGGCGCGATCCTCCGACACCATCTACTCTGGCCTCATTCTGGACGGCCTCGAGTGCGCTGCTTTGGGGTCCGCGGACCCGGTGGCCCCCCGATGATGCGCGTCCCCACCGTATCCGACTTATTGGTGCCTCCTCTCCATCTCTCCTCCGTCATCCCCCTCCGCTGTTGGAGGCGGGCCGGGCGGTCATCAGATATCGACACCTGGATCTCCCCAAACACCCGACAGCGTGATGCTTTCACAGCGTGGCTCCCCAGAGGTCTGGATCCCCTCCTGGGACAGGGTGTTCACCCCGACTCGTTCTAACAGCCACGGGGCCCAGTCAAGGTCAAGGCCCCAGGAGGCCGAACATTGCCAACAGCCACCCGCCGTTTTTCCTGTCGCGAGGAGAATGGCGGTAGCAACACGTGGTCCGAACTGAGGGTGCCGAACGGCTAGACACGGGTCGGGGATGCGCCCTGGGCCACCCTCTGCCCGTTGCGGCGGCTGTGCTGGAAGCAGCCGAGCGGCCAGCTGGCCCATCGCGCCGATGAGTTGGGATCATAACACAGACGCCCGGGGCAGCTACCAGTGACCCTCCATCCACTGTTTGAGGCAGTGACGCACAGCAAAGTGTAGGTGCTCCACGTGGCATTCAGGGAGCGGCACCCAATGCAGATCCCCGATGAAACGGTCTTGGTCTGCCGCTTGTTAGTAACTGGCCACCGAGACGTTGTTGTCACCGAGGAGGTCAACGAGATGGATGTCGTAAACGTTGAAGCTGCCTAGCCTGTTGAGCTTCGTGTCGGCATTGACGCGCCAGTGCTCCTGTCCTTGCAGGTCTTTGGACGTCGAGATATGGTGCACACAATGTTTTCGAGCCGCGAACAGCGTGTTCACAATCGCTGCGCCATGGGTCGGGGAGACGCAGTTCAGGCTCCCATTTGGAGGACTCGAACTTGCCTGACGGGTCCATCAGAACAACGGCGCGACCAACATCTGATAATTGACGCGAGCCGCGGCTGCAAATACCTCACCACAGAAACCCAACCGACACAAATCATGTCGAGACCGTTAAGATCGCATGCGAATCCGAGATCTGGCAAACTCGAGTCATTCTTTTTCCCGAATGGTAGCCGATGACCCCCGCGGCCTGTGTGAACATTCTGACGGTATCTGCGACGCTTTCGTCCCCTCGAGTAGACTTTCAGCGGCAGCTGTTCACCACCCAGCCTTACGCTCGTCATCCTGTCCTTCAGCCTGTCCAAGTCGGCCTCGTGGAATTGGCCGACGCCGACCTGCGCTGGACGACGATCAACTGTGGCGAGAGTCGTCCGACGAACGCAGAGAAGTCACGTTGCATCCAGTTCAGGTTCGCTTAGAGGTCGATGGAGAAAGAGTGGATCATCTTCTCGTCCTTGCCGAACTGATCGAGGTACGACTGCTTCGCACCCATCAGCGCGGTCCGGTAGCTGGTCCCGATGACCCGCTCCAATTAGTAACATGATCTGCGAACAACATAGGGAGGGGGCTCATGCCTGAGTCTTCCTCGCAATTTACTCACAGACGAAGCTCCCGCCTGAGACTTCCGCCACAATCAAGCTTGGAGAGGCCAAGGGTGACGACGGGTACACGATTCCGATGACCGGCTCGGATTAGTAACATGAGCTGCGAGTCACACAGGGAAGGGGCTCCTGCCTGAGACTTCCTCGCAATTCGCTCACAGACGAAGCTCCCGACTGAAATGAGTGAGTAAGTTAATGAGTGAGTGAGTGAAGATGATGTTGATGATGTTGATGATGATGATGGATGATGGATGATGGATGATGGATGATGATGATGATGATGATGTTGATGATGATGATGATGATGATGATGATGATGATGAGTGTGAGTGTGAGTGGGTGAGTGAATGGGCGGGTACGTGGGTGAGTGAGTGTGTAAGTGCGCGGGTGAGTAATGATGATGATGATGATGATGATGATGACGATGATGATGATGCTGCTGATGCTGATGCTGCTGCTGATGATGATGATGATGGTGATGATGATGATGATGATGATGATGATGATGATGATGAGTGTGTGTGTGTGTGTATGGGTGAGTGAGTGGGTGAGTGAGGGTGTGTCTTAGTGTCTGAGTGAGTGTGTGAGTTGGTGGGTGTGGGTGATGATGTGTGTGAGTGATTGAGTGAATGAGTGTGCGATTAAAGAAAAGGAGAGGGTGTGTTCTCTTGTTCCTGCGCGGGGTGTCTAGAGAAAACAAGAGCACCACTTTGTATGAGGGGAGGACAACCTGACAGCAGAACATCCGTGCTTTTTGCGTCTTAGAGCTCTCTGGGGAGCGCTCGTCGAGTCCTCTTGGGCCGTCTTGAAGCCATCTGGGGTTTCCTGGAAGCCCCGTGGGACATTATGCAGTCTTCTGGCGTCCCTATGGCGCCACTCAAGGCCGCCTGGGCGTGCCTGGGTCCACTGGAGAGGGTGCCCGAGGAGCTCGCAGTCCCCATGGCGACCAGGCGCAGTTGGGAGAATGCCCCACCCGGCGACCCCCCCACGATCCACCCACATTGCTTTGACGAGATGATCGGCGCCCGCGTCGGGCTCGTTGTGCAATGTGTTAGATAATCGGCACCTGCGGCGTGCTTCTTCAGAACCGCGCGAACTGCCGACGGCCCCGCCGCCCCCTCACTCTTATCCGCAACTGCGGGGTGCTACGCATGTATTGACACACTAGATGTGTATATATATATATATATATACATATATATATATATATATATATATATATATATATATATTGTGTTTATCATGTGTTTCTCTCTTTCTCTCTCTCTCTCTCTCTTTCGCTTCTCTCGTTTACCTTGTTTCCTCCGTGTCTTTATTTCAAAGGTTTGTTTTGTTTTTCTTGCTCTCTCTCTCTCTCTCTCTCTCTCTTCCACCCTCCTTCGCTCTCTCGCAATCGTTAGGCCATGCCCCCGTGGAAAGAAGTCGGAATCCAGTGGGAAGCACCAGGGTCCAAGAGCCCATTTTCCTCAGGACCTCATGCATGCCAACGGAGCAGGAAACATAAGGGTTTCTGGTCCCTCATCGTTCGTTCGTCCCCAAACCATGTCCCACGTCGCATCGGCTCGGCAGGGCAAATGTGTGGCTCACCAGAAAAACAGCACACGCCATATCATGTAATGCATGAGGCCAGTGGGGACAATTTTGCTGAACAGTAACCCCTCGTCAGAACACTCGTCCCCGAAACAACAGCGGAAGGGGACGAGGAGAACGAGAGAGGGGAAGGATGAGAAGAGCAGGTAAACAGGAGCAACACGTGACAACCACTACCCCGCTCACTGGAACCCAGGCCAGGCAAACGGTGTGGCCCGTGAACAGTGTGGTCTGGATTTTGGTTTCTGCGACAGTCCACGATGCGGGAATTAACTGCACGAAGAGGTTCCTTGTTCAAACCCGAACATGTATTCACAAACCGAACTCGCCTTATCGCACCACGCCGTCACTGGCCGCACCACTTGCCCGCCTTTGTGGAGCCCCCGCAACGCCGCCGTAGAGATTAGGGGGACACCATCAAAGTGCCGTTGATCTTGGAGGGCAAGATCAATCAACATCGAAACGAGAAATCGCATCGCATCGAAATGTGCATCGGATCGGGCTGCATCGGAACGGAGCCAGAATCGAGTCGGTTCGGCCGGCTGGGATTGAGCCCAATCTTTACCATCCGGGGTCTTCGCACGATCCGAATCGAAGCTGATCGAGCCAGACCGATTCGACATGGAATCGGACCGATCGGATCGAATCTGGCCCTGGAGGGCGACGTTGAGCTTGAAGGGTCGACGAGCTACGAATGGAAGGGAATGCCCATTGGAATGGAATGGGTTGCCCATTGGAATTGGAATTGTGAAGGGGCCCTGGGACACACAAATACATGCACACAAATAGCAGGATTCCCCATAGTTTCCCATATGTTCTGGGCTTCTGCCTCCCCCCCCCACTTCCCATATTTTCCCACGTTTTCCTGGGAGTCGACGATTCATTGTGTCTGTGTGCTTCTTTCCCTCCTGATGGCATTGGTATTGGAATGGCATGGAATGCCCGCTGAGCTCGAAGGGTCGACGCGCTGCGATCGTGACGAACCAACAACACACACCCATACCCATAGGGGGGTCGGAGAGGGCTATGGGTGCGTGTTGTCGGAGGGGGGTCCCCGTTCGAGCGGGAGCGTTCCCCAGGGTCCGACAACCCGCACCCATACCCATACTCCAGATTTCGGAATAATAAAATGGAGGGGGTCTGGACCCTCCAAGACGAGCCATTTCAGACCTCCCCCGTGGGAGGACCCTCCAGAACATCGTCCCCAGACCCCCCCCAGGCCCTCCAAGATAGCCTGGAAGAGATCCCCCCCCTCCCCGAAATGAGACCCCCCTCCCTTTCTTACGAAATCTGGAGTATGGGTGTGTGCTGCTCCTTCGTCAGATCGGGAACTCCCGCCGAGCGCGCCGCGGCGGGGGCCTCCCGGCCACGCGCTGCCCCCCCGAGGAGCGGGCCGGCGCGCCGCTCCGCGGCGCGAGGCGGGGAGCCAAGGAGCGGGCGGGAGGGGCTGCTGACCCGGGTCCATGCAGGCCCGGGTCAGCAGGCGGCTACTCCAGATTTCGTAAGAAAGGGAGGGGGGTCTCATCGGGGATGGACAGAACCCCCTTTAGTAAAACGTGGTTTAGTGAAAACGACCTGAGGCCCAAACTTGGCGGGCGCAAGCCTGGAAAACAGCGGCCACGGCGCCCTCTCGAGAACCGAAAACGGACAATTCACTGATCGACGTGTCACTGTTGGGGGTTCTGTCCACCCCCGATCTCATTTCGGGGGGGGGTCTCTTCCAGGCGATCTGGGAGGGCCTGGGGGGGGTCTGGGGACGATGCTCTGGAGGCTTCTCCCACGGGGGAGGTCTGAAATGGCTTGTCTTGGAGGGTCCAGACCCCCTCCCTTTTATTCCGAAATCTGGAGTACCTGCCAGACCACCCCAACCCAACTCGAAGTCCCGAATTTGACCCGAATTGCGGGTTGGGGGGGGTACGGGTTCCGTGTGTGTTTTTCCAATGCTCCCCGACCCTCCCCCCCACTGGAAGTGGAGGGCAAACTGAGGCCTTCGGGTTGGGTTGGGTTTGGCGGGTGGCGAGCAGGAAACCAAAAACTGCAATGCAAGAAAAAAAGCTGCAGCGCAGCTCTTCGCAAAGCCGGGTCGACCAACCTGCGCGGCCGCCTGGCGGCCACGAGCGGCTCGCTAACCTGGGTCAGCCAGAGGGGGTCTTCGCAGGATCCTGCAGGATCCGGTGTCCTGGCTGACCCCCGTTTGCATTGACCCCCGTCTCAGGGCTCCCGAAGCAGGCTCGGGACATTGGCGCCGGGGCGGCCATAGGAATAAGGTAAAAAAACAAGCAAAGTTGGCGATCAAACAGAAGTGTTCCCGTTTTGATCGGATGGCTGGGCTTTTTGAATTTGGAACAGACGTACACTTTTGGAGCTCCGCGCAGATTTCTTGGATCCGCGCTGGACCCCCTCCCTGTCGGGTCGGGCGAAAGGGGGGGATAGCAAAAGGGGGTTTGAGAATCAGCTCACGTAGCTGATTTCCCCGGCGCCTCCCGGCGCCGGAGGCGGCTATATATCGAGGAATGGGGCCCTCGGTGAGGCCGAAACCAGCTGCATGCAGCAGATTTCGTAACCCCCCCTTTCCCTATCCCCCCCTTTCGTTCGGCCCGACCCTGGCGCGCGGAGCGCGCCAGCGGCGGCGCCGGAGGCGCCGCCCCGCAGGCGCCGGAGGTGCCGCCGGGCGTGGCTCCAAGAAATCCGCGCGGAGCGCCATAAGGCGATGCTTGTGCTGCTCTCCCTTCTTCGAGCCCAGGATGTGGGCAACGTGTCGCGCCGAGGCGCGGTGGGTCAGAATGGGCGGAGCGACACGCTATCCTCGGGTGCGCGCAGACATGGATAATAAGCGATCCATGGATTTGGCGCGCGGTCGCCAAGTCCATGGATCGGGGGAGGTGCCCTCCCCCAAATGCGGCCGGTGCCGCCTCGTTCGGCGGCGGAAATCCGTGATGTCCAATGGGAACGGGACCCGTCGCCAATCCACGCCCGGCCCCCTTGATCCATGTCTGCAATCGCCTGACCTCGTCCTCCCTCCCCCTCCAGCCTCCTTTCTGCCCTTCTGCCCTCCTGCCTCCCCTCTGCCCTCCTGTCCCTGATCCTCCTGCCTCCCTTCTGCCCTCCCCCATCTGGGGAGGAGGGGGAGGAGGGGGAGGAGGAGGAGGAGGAGGAGGAGGAGGAGGAGGAGGAGTAGGAGGAGGAGGAGGAGGAGGAGAAGGAGGAGGAGGAGGATGTTTGCGATCGCCTGAGATCCCCAACGTTCCCGGCCATACTCAGGGCACGCTCGCTGCGCCCCTGTGGTGAGAGGCGCGCATAGGTACGCGCGCGGAGCTGGCGCGCCAGAGTCCACGCGTCGGGCATCTCGGGTGCACTGGGCTGGCGGAGAGGTGCGCGCGCATGCCACGGCGGCGGCCTGCTGCCTCCGCCTCCTCCTCCTCGTCCTCCTCCTCCTCC